GGCCACTGTGTCAGTCTTTTCTGTTTGTTTTGATTTATAGAACATGTCATCCGTCTTTGAAGCAGTCGAAGTGGCCAGAACGTACCTGGACTTCCAAAACATCCATGCTCATCACCTACCTCGTCACCGTTGTTGCAAGAGACCGGTCCCTCGACGCTTCGGCCAGACTCGAGGCTTGACCTACACCCGGCTTTTGCGTGGCTTCCGCATGGTGCGCGTTCTGTGCGGCAGCCGAGTTCTGTGCGCTGGGTAGCTGGGACTACCTGGGCAGAATTCACAATTCGAGTACGAGACCAACTTATCCTAGTATATAAGATCGCTTGGAATGCAACTGGTCTGGGAAGTTAAGTTTCCAATCAGCTTTTGATATTTGCAGACACTTCTCATTGGGTGTTTTGGTGTCAGAGTCAGAACAAGTGTTGATTTTCATACTGGCTGTCCCATGTTCTACACAACAGCACTATGACTGTATATATATATATATTATATTATATTATATTATATTATATTATATATTATATTATATTATATTATATTATATTATATTAATATATATTATATTATATTAATATATATATATCACGTGTTGACCCAGGCAGGCCACGAGCTTTGGATTGCCCGAACCCCCAAAGACCCTCAGAGAGTTCCATCATGACGACAGCTACTCCAACGGGTCGCCCAGGCGAGTGATTCGTGTGATGAGACTCTTCCGGGAGCTGCGCTTGATGGTTTGTTCAATCATCCAGCCTGGGCGCTTGACGTGTCCACATTTGGTCTGGGGAGATGTGAGGAAGTCGAGGATCATTGAATAGCGAACGGGATGGTCTGCTGGAAGGGAAGGGAATATGATGCTCTTCTACACGATGCTAGTTTTGGGAGTTTTGGTCGCCAATGGTTCCATGGATCCTTTTGGCTCATTGAGAGCACTTATAGAGGCAGTCGGCTAAGAGGAGTAAGAGGAGTCGATGCACGATCCTCCTTCGGTTCAGTCCAGGTGTCCCGTTTAAGGCCGAAGATCCTCCATCCGTCACGCAGTAGACCATCGCATCCGTCGACGATCGTCTCAAAGACGTCCGCCTGCCTTGCGTCGCCAGTCGCCACGTCGCTCCCTGTCGATGGCCAGGTCGATGGTCTCCCTGTCCTGGGCCTTGCTGCTCTTGCTGATCATCATGTGCCACAAGATGTGAAAGCATTGAAACCTGCTGCAGTCTGCTTGTTGCAGGTCTGCTGCAGTCTGCCTTCTTAGGTCCCCTATGATTGCGGTCCCCGATTCAAAAAGGCTTGACCAGTAAGCAAAGCCATGCTTGGGTGAACAATCAGGGTAAGAGCCACAATCTTCTTATTCTGAAGTTGAGCTTCCTCGCGGACCTGCTGATGGTAGATACTTGGAGGGTCTTAGAGGCATTGAAGGTCGACTTTCATTTTCCAGACAGCTTGTTTGTGTTTGTGTTTGTGTGTTTCTTTTTTGTTTTGTTTTCTTTTTAAACACAGTTTATTACAGTTTATTACAGTCTATTGGTGTTTGTGCGACACACAACCTGCTGCAATCATTTGATGCAAGAAAGGGACGACTTGCACTGCAGAGTTTGTTCGAGTTTCGAGGTGCTGAGGTGCTTCGTGTGTTTGTGATTGGTGTGTTTGCCCTGTCGCAGGTATTTGTTTGCCATCATTTTCATGCACGCAGCCACCTTGCCCACATCTTAGCTGTGGGTCATCACTTGCTGGCTTCATGCATCAATTGACTCAACGACTCAACCACACTTTTTGATCGACGGAGTGAATAGTCAATTGGGGGCGTCCAGCGACAGGTATGTACAAGAGAAGGACGCCCTACACGAGACCCGCGATGCTTTGCAGGCGCTGGGTTTGGCTGTGGGCTTGACAAGAAACCTTTCAAACGTTTGGCCACATGTCGCTGGAGAAGCAGTGCACCAGTCATAGCCTAGCTCTTGGTCTTCCATCCTAGTCCTAGTTGTGAATGGCCTTCAAAGTGAAAGTTTGGAGAAATCTGATAGGCCAAAACAAATCAAACAAATGGTCTTCCTCAAGGCTTCATGCCCGCATGGGTCAGAGTGTAATCTCTATAAACCTCAGGAAACCTTGGAAGCAGGGCAAACCTCGGATGTCCTGTCCCAAAACCTCACCGCCGGCCTCCCTGCCAGTCCTGGTTCGGCTCAGTTGGCGCCTCAGACGAGTGGCACGAGTGAATCTGCCAACGTCGAGCCTTGATTCATAACCACCAAAACGACGGTGTGCTGAAATTGGGGTGGCGTGACATTGGGCTGAAAGTCGATTCATTGGGGGGTCAATCGTGAGGAGAGATGCCCTTCAGAATAGATCTGGAAAATGAGTGGGCATGCATCGCATCCAGATTGAAGGAGGCATTTGCTGCACATATCAACCAATTTGACCAATGCCCCATCCAATGAGTTTCACTAAATGAGCAAACTGCCAAAGGCATGAGCCGACAATGAGCATGAGCAAAAGGTGTGTTGGAATAGACTTGGCGAGGGAATGTTACTTGGCAATAGGACCCTGGGATGCACCAATGATATAATTGAAGGGGTGATCAACGGCACCGAGTTTGGATTCATTCTTGTCAAGATCTACGGGTCGTTGTCTGCCTCGAGGTGGGGAAGTCGATGTATTCCCTGCTGTTGGCGGTCACCGGAGGCGTGTGGGGCCGGTCCCAACGAGACGGACCAGTGGGACCGGGCGAGACGGGGCGAGACGGGGCTGGCGGCGAACGAAAGGATTCCAAGAGTGACCCCGTGACAGTCTCGGTGCGTTTTGTGGAATGAGTCCGTGACTCCACAGAGCAAGAAAGAGCAGCACGGATCGGTACCCAATCGACATTTTGTTCGGACTTCAGGTGAGGATTGGTATCAGATCGTGGAACCCCTGAGCCACATCTCAGACTTCTATCTTGCAAGGGCCTCAGTGGCCTTAGTTCACCCTCTTTAGCCGCCCTGTTTGAGTCTTACTTTGTCTCTGGATGTTTGTTTACAAGCCGCGGAAGGACTGTTACGAAATAGTATGAGCCTCGACACAGGTTGCTATATAGGTGATTCGCTCTCATGATTTGTCTCGAACATTCACACTGGCCAGAATGCCATCATCCACCTAGTCTCATGGCTGTCTTTCAAGGTGCTTTTTGCCTTCTACGTGCTCTTTGTGGTCATCGGAGTGCCCCTGCAAGATCAGACGTGACGGGGCACTAATCTTGGAGATTTGTGCAGGCAAACAGTCTCTTCGACCGGCATTTCGCGAAATCAGATTCCGATCTACACTTTCCGAATGGTACCAAAGCAGTTTCTTCCCGTGGAACTCCACGTTGAAGCCTCATCAGGTACTGAATGTCCTGACCAGTGCCTTCGCCATCAGCCAAGATTGCCCCATGCAATTTTTGAAGAGACTGGATGAATGCTTGCACCCCTCCACAACCTGGGCTTTGGCGTAGATCGACAGTTCAACAATCATTGAAGCACTGGTTGTACCGCATGTTCACAACCAGGAGTTTGCTTGGTAGCATTTTTATACCTCTTGTCAATGAATCTATAATCATGACATATCAATGACCAACTCAACTGAACTGGCGATTAGCTTGCAAGGGAACAATATCCCTCACTGTGCTGCCATAGCCAGATGAGCGACATTGCATTATAGTCGCTTAGCTGTGCCCAGGTCCAGCGTGCATGCGAGCTATCTCGGTTGGACCGTGATTTGGTGCGGAGCCCCAGGAAGAGGTTGGACAGAGTGCAGAGGAGATCCATGTTTCCAGAGTCAAACCGAGTGACCCAAAGAGGAACCACTAATTCACTAGTCTACTCTGATGAGGTGACTGTTTTCTGTTGTCGCTTATCAATAGAGGGTAATCTCAGTAGTCCCTGCACGCCGAACGGATGATTTAGATACATGGGGTGGTCCAGGATTCTCAGCATTCTCCTCCCTCAGCTCAGTGGCTCAGTAGGACTGATGGCGTCCTTTGAAAGGGTTTGCACCTGATGCGGGTTTGTCAAAAAGGCAGGTCGAATCATCTTGGAATTTGCATGAAATATACTTTAATGTCATATCAACATCAAGCAGAATTCAGACAGGTTAAGTCTGAGGTAGACTGTAGATGATCACCCCAAAGAGTAACCAACAGGGATTCCACATCAAAAGCTTCAATTAGCTGTTTGTTAGATTCATAGGTCCTCGCGGCCTCTGACAGATTGATTTTTTGACATATAGCCGTATGATGCCGTATGTAGAAAGCCTGCAGATACTTCACTTCATCCCATCACTTCATTGGGAAATTCGATGCCCCCAAACAAAAACTAGTAGTAACAAGTGCCACGCTAGTAGTAACAGGTGCCTTACTAGTAGTAACAAAAAGCTATTAGAATTAAACTGCCCGAAATCGGGAACTCCACGCCCCGTTGCATCACCGGTGCAGGCCATTCAATCTGAATTGGTCTCCGACGAGTCGGCGCCACGGACGCGCGGGGAAGGGAGGCGATGCTCGGATCGAATGGCGCTCGGCGATCCTCGGTGGAATAGAGCAGCGATCGTCGATCGCACAAATCGTTCTATGAAACCTGGGTATCCTGAGCTGCATACTTAGTTTGGCCTACACCCATTTTTCAAGCCCCCAAACGAATGCTTCTTGGTTGATCAGGAACAGGTCACGAACGTTCTTTTTTGTGGGCCCAGTGGGCCCAGATTCTTCAACCCCTTCAACCAGATTCTTGAGACACTCAGCCGAGAGTGCCGGTGATTCAGGTCCTTCACCGCCGAGATGAAAAGCATCTTCGAGGAGGCCTGAGCAGACAATCGGAATGCCGGGAGGGGCCTTCTATCAGTTAGGATATTGCCCAACAAAACCCACATGGTGTTGACTGACCATCAGCTTCTGGCAAGTTTTCTTTTCTGGTTGGATTTTGGCTCCTTTGACCTCCAGGTGGACGTCGAGGGCACTGGCTGTATCGACTGGGAGCAGTTCCGCTCCTTCATTCACAATGAGCATGTGCTTCGACTGGAGGGTTGAGCGGAGCTGGCCGCAGTTTTCCTGGAAATCCTGCTGCGAGGTTCTTTGGGTTGAGTTTAAGAGTTTTAATCGGCTGGGACTGTCAGTTGCAGAGGTACTGAAGGTTCCAAGGTTCAAGACGGACACTGTAAAGCAGAGTCCATAATTGTAATTACAATGTTTTGCTGCATGTACATTATTACATTATCATATATATATATATATAATGTATATATATATATATATATACATACTGTAGACTCCAGAATTGTCGGTCATGGTCCTCGTGTGAGGGTCGGCTCGCGGGCCCGCGCAGGTCCGCAGCGGGCCCGCATACGAACTATAAATATGTCAATATTTTTTGTATGTTTTTGTTATTTTTATTTCCCAAACAGTGTCACACGGGGTCGGAATGGTCTCAGCACATATCACTTTCTGATCACTAAGCAGAGGCATTGGGTGCAGTTGTTGAGAACTCAGAACCTACTCCCTTTTGCACCCTTTGCCGGCGCCCTCATTTTTGAACAACTGGTTCTAATAATAGTCGTTTGATCGGAGATGATCATTATGAACATTACAAGCTGATCGGATGAAATTGCAAAACAGGTTGAAGCCTAAACAAGGAGGTCAGAGGGTGCAGGCTTCGGAGTACCACGCCACTCAATTAAGGGTCAACCTCAAATTGCTGATGGCCCCCCCAAAACTTACAGGCAAGTGGAACACATGATTCGAACTTGCAAAGTTTTGGTCAACTGGAGTCACCCAAATCAGTTTTGCTGTGTTGCCTCCCTGTGGTGCTTCTTTTTGCTTCACTTTTTTTCGTCAGTCGTCCGAGTCGTCCGACGTCCCATCACCGAGGTCCAGGCCTATTTCGCCACCCAGCAGCTGGACACCACCGACGCGCGGGAACTCTTCAACCTTTTGGATCAGGACGGCGATGGCGAGGCGGTCCACGACCGGACGCCACGGCCGTGGGTGTTGGTTTGGGGGGGACCACGGACCACCATCCTCCTCCCTTTGTTGGAAGAGGAAGGTTTGGAATGAAGCGTTTTGACAATTGTTTTGCAAAACATCGATTTTTTGCCACTCGTACGTAACACTGGTGAGGAAATGCAAGAGATCCAGGGATCTTGGACACTTTTTTTTGCTACATGTTGCATCATTTTGCCGTGAATGTTGAGAAGACCTAGACTAGAAGTCCATGTTTTGTTTTGTTTTTTTTGGCCCAGCTTGTCAGGTTTGCATCGAGGAGTTCATTTTGGGATGCAAGAAGCTGCGGGGTCAGGCAAGTGAGGAAGGATGATGTTGGAGAGTGAAATGCATTCACTTTGGAAGTAACAGATGAAGGTTCATCAATTGATTCCTGGCCACAATACAAACAAATTGAGTCTTCAAGTGACTCCAGTGTTTTGGCCAACGCCAAGGCAGCCAAACCAGTTTGAGAGTAGTCGCTGGAACTGTTATTAGTGGCAAGCAACAGCAGCAGTGGCATTTTGGCCAACGTCATCAGCAGAAACAAAGGATAACAATGCAACCACTTCTCGACCATAACATGATTGCTGCAACAAAGGCTCCTAAACACATTGCAGGCAAAGCTTTTGTGTTGGGATTCCCTCTATCGAGTTGAGTCTTTGGAAAGTTCTCAGATCAACTCTGTTGGTTGCATGGGTGGACGTTCCAACCATGTCTTTGCTCTGTGCAGCTTTCCCGTAGTGGCTATGATCTACAGCTGGTCAGAACTCGTAACTAGTCCTCCACGTTTGTGCTGTCCGGTCCGACTCCTTGCTCGAGAGACTCTGTGGAGAGTAAAAGAGGGACCCGCCAAATACGAGAAGAATGACAATGGAAATCACTGGGGAAGATGTGGTAATGCAATGAACTACCTTCTCATTGCTGGGCACGGCAGGCAAAGAGTTCAGATGTGGCCACCCTGATACGGGAGAACAAGACCTGACCTTAGACGAGAGTCGGTTTTGCAGGGCTTGAGTACCCCCGAAGAGATTGCAGAGAAAGTGAAACGTTGCTTCATCATGAATCGTTTCCCACAGGGCATAGCACTCGCTGGTACACGTGGACAACGATCTTCAAGGTGTCAGGTCGTCCAAGGCTTCAGGTTTTCGATGCCTCCACGGGCAATCTCGGACACGAAGACACCCTGGTGTGAGCATTCCAACGTAGCATATACCTTTTTGATCCTTTTTGCAAGCCACCTGAGGGTAAAATCTAGAAGAGGAAAGAGCTATTCCAACGTGTGATACTTTGTGGGTAAAATTCAAGGGAGTCAGGAGCCATTCGAACATAGCATAGGGAAAAGTTTCCAGGAAAGAGCCACTCCTAGCCGCAAGGAACCATTCAAGCTGAGGCCCCCCTCCCCCAAACAGCACCCCCGCATGCCTGCGTGCGCAAGCGAGTTGCGGCGTGCGCAAGGGAGTCGCCATGTGCGCAAGTGAGTTTGAGGACATCACCACTTCACAATTGGATTTGCTCGGTCTGGTGTCGACCTCGCATGCACGAGTGAGTTGATTTTGGCGTGCGCAAGTAAGTGGGGCACCTTCTCACAGCCATTTATTTCCTGAATAACTTTCCTCAGTACTTGGTTCAGTACTTGGTTCGGTTTCGATAGTTACATAGCTCCCAGTCCCCACAGCTCTGAGGAAGTTCAACAACAAGTCCATGCGAGCGATTCGCAAAGTTGAGGACGGGCACGTGCTTGACTGTGAGGTCACAGTTGTAGACAACTTGGAAGTATTTTGAAGTATGCTGAACAGAAGGAGAAAACACATCACAGTGGAGTCCTTGTTGGAATTTTCTTTTTTGCCGTTTGCCTAGCTCGAACCATTTGCCTCCATGCCTGCACGTGTGCGCGGTGCTTGACAGGATCGGTTGACAGCCATTTGCACAGGCTTTCAGGGCCTAGGCATCATGCCAGGGCGGCCCAGTCTTTTTTCGAGGAAGACTAGCTCAGGACTCAGAGCCAAGAGCCAGATTCGAAGAAGGCACAGATATTCTCATTCTGGAGATCAATGTTTCGTTCTTGGCCATACACTCATAGATTTGACAGGCTCCAAGAACCAGGAGTCGTGAATGTTTGTCTTACTTCTAGAAAGGTGCCCCTCACTGAGTTTTCATAAACTGGCGGGAGAAACCAAGCAGCTTGGGGTGCACCGATGTAAATACTGCCTAGCACCGCACGAACCCTCTGTTGAAGAGACATGTTTTTGGATCAGATCATCTTTGAAATTTCTACTCATAAATGGGTTGTTTGTAGGTTCCATGTTGAATAGGAATTCTGTAAAGTACTTGCTTGCATTTTGTCAGTATTTTTGGAACCATTGAGGTAGCCCGACCCCACCCCGTGCGTCCTCCAGCCGTCTCCGCGGCACCGCGCGCCGCGGCAGCGCCCAGGATCCCGGATGAGGCCGCGGCCCGCTGGATGGGCTCGCCGACGAGCTGCCGGAGCTGCTACGCCGGCACAGTGCTTGAGAGGGTGGTGTCCGAGGGAGGCTGAGTGCTGGGGTAAGGGAGATTGGTTATATATAGAAGATGTATGAAGATGTCCTTTTTTCCCGGTTGCTTGTATGTCTCTTGCATATTACTTTAGATGGATGCATGTTGAGTGTTCAGGAGTTTATGATCCGGTGTGGCATCAAAAACTACTTCATCTTTCATTGTGACTGAAGCTCCCTGTGCCCGGACCGGACGGACATCCTCAGCTGCCAGATGCCAGAAGCGTCTTGTCCCGATCACGTGGGGGACCCAGGGGCAGCCACCACAAGGGGGGGCAGAACTCATGTGTGTGTGTGTATGTGTGTGTGTAACCCTTGGAATCATAGGGATCCTTTTGGATTTTTCTGGTTTGTTTATGTCACAGCGGGGGGCTCGTGGACGCATGGGTGGCACGAGCCAACGAAGACCCATCCATGTCGTCGTGATACCAGACCTGATCAGTCTGGCGTACCTGCGATTTTCCTTCCTTTCTGAATGGCATGAGGCTAAGCCAAGAACCTCGCAGTTTAGATGTCCTTTTGATGTCTTTTGGAACTGCAGATGCGAGCGGAACGTCGTCAGCCTGTTCGTCCGTCGTTCGTTTTCTTCTTCTTTGGGCCATTTCTCCGTTTGAAGACCTCCAGGATCCCGTGGTTCGTACTTGTACTCTTAGGAAATGGAACCCTAGGCCGGCGTGTGGCACCGCATTCAGTTCAGTACACCATATCCTAAGTGTGTTTGGCCTTGTGCCAACCCGGGATGAGCCCGCAGAGTGCCTCCCGTGGACCCGTCGAACGGGTGTACGCCGTTGTTTCCCTTGCTCTGGAAACGTAAGTGCCCACAGCGGGCGAAGGTGGCCTAGGCCGTACGTACGATGATTTTTGTCTCATCTTTGGAATTCCAAGTTGGCTCATGCCTTTACGTGACCGCAGCGGTCAAAGCAGCCAGCCATTTCGGCAAGGCACAAGGTGACCACAGCGGTCAAAGCCAGTTTCTAGGTTCATTGGAACCTGTTGGAGCCTTAGTTTTTCAGTTGATTCCTCCTTCTCCGCTCCCCGCTCCTCTTTGGTGTGTCCCTGGACGCTCGTTTCGTAGCTGGGAGCACCTCTCTTTCTCTCTCTCTCTCTCTCTCTCTCTCTCTCTCGCCCCTCCCTCTCCCTGCGCCTCCCGCCGCTTTGCAGCTCTGTCCTACGGCCTCGCCGCCTACGCCTTACCACACACAGGCCTTCAACCTTTCCTTTCCCTTCCTTACGCCGGGGTCTACACCCTACCGGATAACAGCGTGCAGGGGTGCCTGGGCCTTTCAGTGTGCAGCTGGCAACCGCACCAACCATCCTTCCTCCAGTTTACACGAAACGGTCACTTCTTTACCGTTTCTTGTTCTTCCTCTTCCTGCGCTGCCACACACCTTTCCTGTCCCTTCCCTACGCCGGGGTTTACACCCTACTGGATAACCGCGTGCAGGGGTGCCTGGGCCTTTTACTGTGCAGCTGGCAACCGCACCAACCATCCTCACTGAAATCTCACCCTACCTTTGGCGCGGAGCTTAAAATCTTGCCTGCCTTCGGGGAGGCGTGTGTGTGTAACCCTTGGAATCATAGGGATCCTTTTGGATTTTTCTGGTTTGTTTATGTCACAGCGGGGGGGCTCATGGACGCATGGGTGGCACGAGCCAACGAAGACCCATCCATGTCGTCGTGATACCAGACCTGATCAGTCTGGCGTACCTGCGATTTTCCTTCCTTTCTGAATGGCATGAGGCTAAGCCAAGAACCTCGCAGTTTAGATGTCCTTTTGATGTCTTTTGGAACTGCAGATGCGAGCGGAACGTCGTCAGCCTGTTCGTCCGTCGTTCGTTTTCTTCTTCTTTGGGCCATTTCTCCGTTTGAAGACCTCCAGGATCCCGTGGTTCGTACTTGTACTCTTAGGAAATGGAACCCTAGGCCGGCGTGTGGCACCGCATTCAGTTCAGTACACCATATCCTAAGTGTGTGCCCCTTGTAGTCACAGGGATTCGTTTGAATTATGAAGGAATGACACTCACAAATCTTGAAGTGTACCACGATGTTGCAGTGTAAAGGAATGACACGCACAAATCTTGAAGTGTTTCACAATGTTGCAGTGCAATCCTTGGAGTCACAATCCAGATTTTTTGGTTTTGTTTTTGTTTGTTTGGTTTCTTTTTGTTTTTGCTGCTTTGTGTCTTGTGGGCCTCCTAACGTATAGCGCTGACCTCCAACCTTGTTGCTATGGCCTCTTCCTATTTTTGGTGTCCTTCTAGTAGTTTATATGCCGGTTGCCCTTAGGGTCGGCGCGTCCGCTCTGTTCGACTGGATGCATTCCTATTCAGTCTGCAGAGTTGGGGCGGGCGCACGTGCTTGCTGTAAACATGCTTGCTGTAAACTTGGTACTATGGCCTCCAACCCATTTGCGAGGACCTCTAACCTTGTTGCTGTCTGCTTGTGCGATGGCCTCCAAACTTGGACGATGGCCTCCAACTTCTAGCGATGGCCTCTAATTTAACTTTACTTGCCTTAATTTACTGTAACTTTACCTGCCCTGTTTCCT